AAGAGCGTATATGAAATCAAATGGGAGCCCCTGAGACACAAATCAGTGTGATTTGACTCAGAAACTGGACGTGATTGGTTAGAAAAGAAACTGTGGAATGTGTTAAAGCTCCACTTGGTAATACCCCATCAATACACCAACACTATCACCGCTTATGTTTTAATTAATAGAATTAAGGGGATTTTTTTCCATTTAAAATGAGGGAGGGGATGTGTTAATACAGGCAATGGGGGAATTTATTATGTGTTATCAGGATGTAAAAGCTTTTCTCACGCTGGAAAAAAATGCAACAGTTCAATCAGCACAATACAGCGATACAGAGTCAGATTTTAATCAGCGATGTAACGTCATGTAAATCACATTTTTTATCTAGTGAAGCTACAAAGGAAGTTAAAGAAGGTCAAACAGTGCTGAGAAAATATGCACACAAGAACTGTGTGTATGTGCGTGCATGCATACGTATAAAATCCTGCTCAAAGAGCTCTTTTTACTTCACTGTTCTGTTCCAACTTGTCTGTCTGTGACCCGGAAATTGATCTCACCGGTGTCTCGCTCTCAAAGGATTTTGTAGTTCCTATAAATGTAAGTTTTGGGTAAAAAAAAAAAGGCTCAGTAGAGGAGCTATGGGCAAGGATGCGCAGGAACAAAGGCCCTTTGTGGGACCTGTGATGTATATACAATATGTGACAAACAGCTGAATTGCTAACACGATGAGAACAGGGCTCTACAAAGTGTTCCTTTGTATTCATAAGCTGTGGTTGTTGCAATTACACTTAGATAAAATGTGACATCTGCACATTTTTCTCATATTATTCCTCATTTATGTGCCTTATGCTGGTCAAAGATCGCTTTAGCATCGCAAACGCAGATAATAATGAGGTCAGTATACGCGAACGTGATCCTTATGAGCCAAAAGTTCTGCTTTCAGGCTGCTCTAAATGCTGCCCACAGCTGTCTGTTTATTAGGGGCGACAAATCAGAAGAAAGCTGGCTTTGAGGCGCTAAAAGGGCTTCTTTGACACAATGAATGAACTCAGGGTCTGTCCAAGGGTGAGTTTAAAGTAAATATAATAAATTCTTAATTGCGCATCACACCAAGGAACTGCAGTAGAGTTCAAGACTGAAAATGCAAAGCTGCAAACGAACAAGATAAGTTCCTTTTAACATAAAAATGTTTCAGTGGAGATGCTTATCTGAGAGAGAAAGGGAGAAAATATGATGCCACATTAGACTGAAATGTTCCTAATCAAGCTTGATTAGGAACTGTCTTGACTCCTGTCTTGTCCTTACCTCCTCCTCCTTTACTAGCATCACAAGTGGGAGGAGCTAAGATGGCAAAAGAGGAGAGGAGGCAGGAAAGGAATCGAGAATGTAAACAAAGAGAGAGGAGCAAGTGAACGACGACTAGCCTCCAGGTCACCGAAGGTGGAAAAGGATTAACGGACGCGGAGCAGGCTGAGGATAGATGGGAATCAGCATGAAGATGAAGACACAGTGAGAAAAGAGAGAACGGAAAGAGAGAAGCAGTGAGGGGTGCAAAGAAGAGAGAGATGCTCCTAGTGAGAATCACACCTTTGCAGCCGGTGTACCATTAGCTGTGCAGCTGGTCTCAATCATTAGCACACAGATGATCCTACAGATCCTACTCACAGCAACAAATCAAAAGCTATTAAAAGACACCGAGTTCAATGTCTGTCTTTCAACTTTTAGCTGATGGAGGAACAGATGTGGTGGCTACTAAAAAATACAGTA